TGAGCTCGAATAGAAACAATTTTAATCGTTTGAGCCCGTTTTCTCATCAATGTTGCAACTCACCCTACTCGACGTTGCCCGGCTCGTCGTCTAATTGACCTCATAATAATTACCAGCCCATTAAACATTCGTAGGTAACGTGAAAAGTGTCAGCTGCCGATTGTCCCAGAGACATTAGAAACACGTAGCCGATTGTGTTCTGTCTGTGCTGGTATATACAAAAGCGGTTTAAACGCTGTGGCGAAGTTCGCCAAGAGACAAAAGGGGGAAATTATTAATTTGTAGAAGTTGCGGATGGAATAGCAATGGAATCATCAGAGGGGGGTGGTCTACGAAGTCAAAGGAAAGTGTTTCACTTCTTGCATATTCTGTGGTAGAGAAAATTTTTCCCTTAAAGTCACATTCAAACGATGAGATCGTCGTGTTTTTTCGAGAAATATAGACTTGATGAACGTAAATATTTATCAGCTTGAAAATTTGAAGAGCGACGAATGTGTAAATTGTACTATAATAAACGTGCCGAAGGAGAGAAGATTTTTAACGATCAAATTTCTGAGGTATTCTTTCTTATTTCGTTTACAGGATTAACTGTATTAGGTAAATATACAGGGTGGCACGTAAGTTGTTTGACCATTTAGGGATTTAATGAAATCTTCCTTTTGTGTGACTATTTTTCGTAATAAATTTCCAAAGAAAAATATACATAGAGAGAGAGAGAGAAAATGTTGTGGAATTTTTTAGCGGTAAAAAGACTTACGAATCACTCTGTACTTTCTTTACTTTTAACAGGTTATGTGTATTATTTTTCTTATTATCTTTGTCACCGTGCAGAAGTTTCGCTAACAAACGATCTTAAACTATTTAGTCTTCCTTGTCGAAGATTCTTCTTTGCCCAAATTTGGGCATTCAAGTATCCGTTATTATTTTTATCATTTTTTTTTTTTGTTTTCCTACGATATCTTCAACTGTATTATTATTCCCCCGAGTGACGATCTTCGAATGTATTATTCCTCTATAGTCCGTAGAAAAATGCATCGGGACGATAATTCGAGGAGCGAGAGAAAGAGGGATTAGAAACGTTGTTTCATAAACGACGAGCCCGCACAGTAACAACTTTCGACGTGATGCTGATTCTAATCTTCATCATTCAATCATGCAAGATACGTAAAGCCTCGGCGACCTATTATAACAGCAGATCGTAGATTAGGGTCGTGATACGTGCGTAAGGCCTGACATCCGGCGATTGGCCGGCCTGCCAGGCTTATGCCTTGTTTGACCACTCAAAAGCCCGGCCGACTGCACATCCCGTACGATTCAGGGGCGGAACGAACGTTCGTATGTGCGGTGCGCATGCGCAGATGGGCGGTACCAACCCTCGCGACGGCGAATTAGAGGCTCTTCCGCTAAATAGGTATGCGGTAACGAAGCACGTGACACGGCACATCTCTCGACAGGCTCAATGAGAAGTCGAAGTCGCGACGAGGAAGAAGTTTCGTCAGGTCACCTCCTGGACACGTCGCAGTCCTCGAGGATAGGCACTTCTTCTTTTCCTTTTTCTTTTCCAACACACTTTTCCGGTGATCATGGAGAAAAAGTAGTAGCTCGTGAAACGTTCTAAGACGGTTGTTAGATGTAACAACTAAGGAAAGAGGTTATGTTCTTTGTTTCGTAGCAAATTTACGGAATTTGTGGAATAACGATGGTTTCGAGCACACGTGACCGTTGAACGCAGCCGAGAATCGATGGACGCGATTAATCACAAGTCTGACGAAAGGTTAAACTGTTAACGACTCGGCTGTCCTCTTTGTGAACGATCTCGATGAGGGAGAAAATGATTTGACCGCACTGAAAAGTGTTGCACGCGGTATTCATCGGTGTTCTAAGCGAAGCGATCTCCCTCGAAGGAATGAGCTCCCACACGCATGCAAGAACGATTTGTAGCGGAAGCACTGTGTCCGGCGCGTTCTCTGCGTTGCATCTTCTAAGAAGTTACAGTTTGTTCGCACCAACTTCAGGTACCTTTCAGAAATCTTTCGTTGATTCGCACTTTTGCTTTCAATAGTACTTTTGAAATGTTTTGTCACCGTTCTGTGCTGTCCATTCGACGCAAATAAATTTTGTATATACAGGGTGTTTCACAAGTCCCTTTACCATTTAAAGTTCCAAAGAACGAATGTTCAAAATCTGAGACAAATGTTTCGAGACATATGGTAGAAAAAAAGTTATTCAGTTTTTAAATGTTTGAAGTTTTTTTTTTTTTTTAAGTTGATAAACACGTGACTATAATAACCGTTACGAGTAAATGAACAAGTTGGTCAATATGAGACTCGAGTTTAGACGATTTCCAACAGATTTGCAAGTCCTCCGATAGCCGTGATCGTCTAGTGGTTAGGACCCTACGTTGTGGCCGTAGTAACCCAGGTTCGAATCCTGGTCACGGCAATGTGTGAACGACACATGTCACGGGGAGGTTTTTTTTTCCAACATTATATTCTACTATGTCCATTCCACATTTATTATTTCTTATTCATTTACTTCAATGATTGCTTACTCTTATTTCATTTTCTAATTTTCTTGTCACGTAGAATGTATGATCAAAGAATGATCTTTTTTTGTTAGAAACGTTACCACGTAATTAACAGAACAATCATAAATGCTATTTTCATGGAGAAGATGCATTTACGAAGATTAGTTGGCTGTTAAATATATACACAATGAATAGACAAGGATTTCACGAGAACACGCAATGTTACTTATTTAACGCTTTACGATCGATCGTGCACGTGAATTCACTGTAATGCTAGCGAAATTGTTACCCCTACAAAAATAAAACGATCAATAAACATCTTCACTGTTTTTTTTCTTACTTTTGTTGAAGCGTAGAATTTTCCCTGTGAACGGTGAATACGAGAAAATATACGTTACGAAATCTTCGTAAGATCAGGAGAAAAAAAAAAATTGTTATATTACCCCTGGTGGGACTCGAACCCACAATCCCCGGTTTAGGAGACCGATGCCTTATCCATTAGGCCACAGGGGCTGTTGTACACCGTAT